CTGGATACGGCAGCCGAGCCCCGCCGACCTGGTGCAAGAGCCCTAGAAGTGCATGGGTATCTTCAGGCAAAAATGGGAAGGGTTACATTGCCTAAATACGTGGTTACTCTGAGGTCTCTAATAATAATCCACGTCTGTTTGTATTTAGTGCGTAGTAGTTGTGACTGAGTCTTCTTGGCTGTCATCTGCATTACGTATGTTGCATGTACATAATTAGTAAGTATTTTGTAGGCATCAGATCTTTGCCAGTGCTAAGACCTTATTCTCTTCCATATATGTCTCTACAAAACATGTTCTGAGTATTTTTTCATCTTAGACACTACTGGCAGTCCATTTTTTCAGACAAGACAAACATTTACTGTTATCTAATAGACATAGACATTACCTTAAGCCTAAAGATAACACAGAGCTGTCAGCAGGGCCAGCAGAAGGTTCCCTCACTCTTCAGCCCCACTGCGGGTGGAAGAGAAGGGAGCAGGATTTCTCCTTTTCTTTCAATCCTGCTTCCATTCACATTACTGGAACATAATATTTAAATGCAAGGACTGCAGGGAGAGATCTGGCTTTGAAATGCAAAGCCCCATGAAGTTACTCATGCTGAAATTCAGTTATGTTGGTCACAGATTCAATTGTTTGCCAGAATTACCAAAGTTTAAAAAGAAATAGCTTAGCATGGAACTAAATGTGTAAGAACTTCTTCCCATATCCAAACACTGCAATTCAAAATCCAACACATTGTGTGCCACCACAGATATCTGCACTCTCTTGAATCCTTACCCTCCTGAGGAGGTCCCCCATCATCTGATCATTCAGCAGTTGTCTGGTAAATGCATTTACACATTTTCTTTATCTGCTCTTTCTAGCGTCCAAGATGAGGCTGTGGACAAAAGCACATTTAAGGAATGCAACCAGATTGCTTTTTACAGGTAAAGAGAAGAATTGTAGTGTTGGGTTGTTTGTATGTTTGTTTGTTTTTTTAAACTAGTAATACTAAAAGATTGAGGAAGTGGTTAGACCGATAGATTTTTAATAACAGCAAGTTCGATACTTTCAGGATTTATCTTTCCAAGAGAGTATCACCTGTCAGCAAGCAATAATCAGCATATTTTAAGAGGCAGAATCTTTACATCCAAAACCTATTCTGTTAAAATTCGAGAGTCAGTTCTCTCATCTGACAAAGCCCCAGCAATATTTTAACTATAGGTACACTCAGATGCAGATTGTTTCCTTGATGTGGATATTTCTTGAATATCTCAAATCAAAAGAATTCTCAATAGAAACCATTACTCTGTGACAGTAGCTTACATGATTACAGTCCTGTTGAACAAGTACTTAGGCCAGAATTCAGCATGAAATCTAAATGCTAGCTCATTGGTCTCACAAATCTAATCTTAAGCTTTGGTTCTTCTCATCCAGTTTCTAACTGTTATACCTCTCCTCCTTTTTTTCCTCCCATCCTCCATTCTCCTCTATCCCATGCTGCCTGAATGAAAGGAATGACAGCACAGTGTTACACCAATTAGCTAGTGACATAGTGAGTTTCAGTTTCAGATAGTAATTTCTGTTCTGTAGGAAATTATGTTCAGAAAACCCAAAAAAACATTTTGCCACTGGGACTGGGACTCCTTCCTCCTATCGCACTGGCACTTTCTAGCCTGTGACCATTTTGATTTAGCACATCTGATTTCTTAGCAGGAGGTTGCCACACATTGGCGAGCATCAGGTCCTGACTTTGCTCTGATTTAAAAACACATGCTTTATCTGATTACATTTGTGCAATATCTATTTGTAAGGTAAAAAAGTCAGTTTACTAATGAAGAAGCTTCCCTTTAAGATAGTCTCCAAGACACTTATCTTGGGCTCGTCAAGGAACATACTACAAACTATCAAAAGAGTCTCTGTTTCAGGGTCTCTGTGATATAACTCTGTGCTAATACTGTGTTAAAAACTCATTAGTCTGCAGGCTTGTTGAAAAACAGTTTCCTCAGTGCATATTCAGGAGGTTACACACTACAAACCACTTCATAACTGCAGGGTGTGGAAGCTGTTCACTGGGGGGGTGCAGGCCGAGCAGGATTTTATGACAGAAAATGAAAAACAGTTTGTTTAGCTTAAATTTCTAGAGTCACAGAAAGGAGAAGAATGTAACTGGACAACTGAGAATTTACTTGGACACTTGAATTTAGACTATTATTACTTTTAAAACCCTATAGAGTGGTGATGGGTGACCAGACCTCTCTTAACATCTCTTCCATAAAAACGTATGTGTGCTCCTTATTTTTCCCCGTGTCTTGAAGCACTGACAGTAATTGTATTTGAAAAAATTGACGACAAAATTATTAAGTAGACATTTCTAACAGTATTATCTCCTCTTGTGTGATATAAGCCACTACAGTTAGGGAGACCAAAAATTATTATCTGTCTTGACAGGCGTCAAAAACTTCTATGTCCTGGAAAATCGTTGTATCGAGCATTGTTGGATTCAGTCACGTTAAGTGATGAGAACATCAAATTCCAAATAATTCATGAGGAGAAAAAGGTGAGATTCCAGCTAGCATAAGAGGATGCTTATAGAAAGAGCAGTGAATATTATCAACAACTCTAATAATATTTGCAAGTTTTGAGATTCTTCAGTGATAAAGATACGATGCAAAGTATCAGCCTAAAGACATCCTTACTGGTCAGTATTTATTTGACAGCCTGAGACTGTGCAAGGAGAACAGGTATTTTACAGAACTTAAAAAAAAACCAAACAACTTTAATAACTATGAAAAATCTGAACATACCTATTTTTATCTGAAAAAAAGTATGTTTTTAATTCAGAGTTTTTACCACTATTCCAAAATAATAAATTCTTATTCTGTAATAGAATAACAAGATGTAAGTTCCAGCACCTCCTAGTCATACCTTTGTATTTCTGTGTTCACTCAAAAGGCAGTTTTTGGGGGAAAAGAAGTCTTCTTTTCATTTAAGAAGACAGCCAGGAAGAGGATTGTCTTCTTTTTCTCTAATTTAACAGCATAGCAGCTGGCAAATTAACTCAGAGGATAGGCAACCTAACTCATCCTAAGTTTATGGGAGTTTGGAACTACAGCTCTCTTCCATGCTGTAAGCATCAAACTATGTATATACTCTGCATAAATATATTTTCTGTTTCTTGTGAATTCTCACCACCTTTGGAGCCAGCACAGGAAAAGGAGCCTATTTTTTTGGTCTAGATTTTAAGGTAAATTAAAAACCAAGGCTCTGTGGCTTGGCAGACCATTTGGAGGTTTATAGAAAGATAACATAACATTTCCTAGGAAGCAGGATCTGGAATTCCAAATGAAACTTTTCTCTTTTGGCTACTCTCCCTCTGGGTTTGTGGCTTTTTCATTCTTACGTGTCTTTGGAGAGATCAAGGCTGATTGACTTTCATGTGGAGGGAAAAGATATCAGTCCGAAATTCTTCAGCCAGTTTTTTGTCTCACAGGAGTGATAAAGCAAGAAAAAAACAGGAAAAAATTGGACTTGTGATACAGGGATCCTCCATGAGAGTAAAACGAGACATTTTGTATGAGCTACAAGAGTGACTTCCCAGTTCCCTGAAGTGAAAAATAGCAAGTTACAGTGGGTAGGGGAGTATTATGCATTTTCTTTAGGTGTCTTTCTGACATAGTTCATCAGTGTCAGCATCGCTGTGAATACTAGTTAACACAGAGCACTGATATTTTTGCAAAAAGTCCACTTCTCAGTAGTATCCCACTCTTACATTGACAGTGCAGTAGTAAAATTGTCCAAACTTCAAGATTAGATTAGCATAATACTAGTTAACACAGAGCACTGATATTTTTCCAAAAAGTCCACTTCTCAGTAATATCCCACTCTTACATTGACAGCACAGTAGTAAAATTGTCCAGACTTCAAGATTAGATTAGCAGATTCCATGCTGCTTGTGGGGACAGCTGCAAAATGCTACACAGGAGAGGCTTTAAGAGTTTCTTCTCCAAAGGGGAGCAGTAGAGCTAGCTGGTGAAAATTCAGATGGGTTATGATTATTGTTCAGCAATGCTGAAGATCATTTGTTTGGTGATGTTGAGTTGAAAGTTGGGGTTTTTATTACTATCTGTTTACACTCAGGTTCTTCTACAAGTAGAAATTTGTGAAATACAAGGCAATATTTTTAGGCTTCAAATTGATGAGGCAGCTCCTCTCAGATCAAGATACAAAGTTCCCGATGTTCTTATAAAGGAACCTACCACCCAGAGGTAAGTGATGGGAAGATGATTTTTAGCACCTTAGTAACTTACACAGCTCCATTTACTGGAGTGTTTCCCCTTCTCCCTTATTTGTGCTACACTATAGTTGTATCTCTACAATACAAAGTTGTTACGGAAAGATAAACTAAAAATGTCTGTGGTTAATTTACTTTCAAAAAATCATGTTAAATACACAAGAAGAAGTTTTGTCATACACAGAAGAAACTTTTTGACCCAATCAGAAAATAGCCTATCTGTTGTGATGCTTAATTTTTACCTAAGGCATTACCAGTTCATGTGAAAGGAGTGCAAACTCTGGATAGTTTTCATGGCAGTTCTGTAGCCATCTGTTACAATGTGCAGTGGAAACCTGAACAGAGCAAGTATTTCTGGGGTTCTTTGCTTCAACATCATCTTTGAGGTTTCTACAATGTAGTGGATATTTTCAAGCCATCTTTTGTTTCAAATCGTTATTTAACTACAGTGGATTTCACATGCTGCTAGTTGATGTAAAGCTGTTTGTTGCTTTTCATTTGCCAGGCTCTTTATATCCCAGAAGGAGGCAGGTATTTTGGTGCTGTCAAGTCTTAATGAGGACTACAAACTTCAAATCACAGCAAACCCCTTCCAGGTTGAGCTACAGTCGAAGGGTGAGACTGTTCTGAGCATTAATTCCAATGGGTTGTTATATTTTGAACACCTACAACCACCTCCCAGTGATAGGTACAGTATCTGTCGCATTGTAGTATGTACTAACTGTGCTGTAGCTGAAGATAAACAATTCTATGGAATTGCAGTTTCTGTGATAGAAACTCTTATGCATTGAAATCTGTCTTCTCTTTTACTTCATACCAGTAAGTACAATGGTGGAGTTCTAACCAAGAAAGTCTAGATCAATGAACTGCAGACTGTTTTAATCCCTTGCACCAGCCATTTACAAGAGGCTAACCATG